CATTAATTAGACAGATTTAATCGTGTTATGGATGCTTGTTTTATTAGACAAATGTAATGCTTTGACTGCTTTTTACTTTCTATTAACAGGGTATCTCATCTGATATGATGTACGGTTACTAGAGAACATTGTGAATGGATCTATGTAATGCTCGTGTCAAGCTTTAAGGAACATTATGAATCATCTTTTTCATAAGTTTGAAGTTCTGGAAAAAAGTCCATTCTGTTTGAAACACCATTATAATAAGTACAGGGGATAGTTCAACAGGTGAAAGTCTCCTACTGGAAATCTGACACCTTATACTGGTAATCTCACGACCGTAAAATACTCAACTGAGATGTAAAAGTAGTACTTCATTCCTCATGCAAATATCACGGCCGTGAGATGTCTCGTGAGATGCAAAGAGCAGTTCTCACTATCCCAGGAAATTTCACGGCTACTACTTGACATACTCACGCCCGTCAAAATCTCACGTGAAATTGAAACACACAGCTGCCACTCAAACGTTCTCCCAGCTCATTCTGGCAAAATAACAGCTGTGGAATTAAGATGTACCTACACTTTCTAGAGTTGTACCTTTACACTAAACTTAAAGTTGTACCTACACTTTCCTAAAAATCTTCTATGGTACAATTCACAATTGTACCTATACACAATGGTACAACTTAATGTTGTACCTACACTTTCTAACAAATCCCTCTATGGTACAACTCAAAATTGTACCTATACTAATGGTACAACCTTAAGTTGTACCTACACTTTCTCAAAATTCTTCTATGGTACAACCCAAACTTGTACCTCACTACAAAAAAAATGACTATTAGCGGCTAAGTGTGTTTGCCACGATAAGTGATTTATGTGCCACTATAGCTTTATAAAGGCACATAATTATGTGCTGTCAATACTGCTACCGCTAAATCTCTTTAGCGGCAAATATTATTTGATTGTGATTTATGAATTCTCGACAGATAGTTTTGCTACCAATTTCACTTTTTAATTACTACTTTATTGTTTCCTTTTCTCAATTTAGTGGCAACCATATTTGCCACTAATGCTAATTTTGCCGATAGATATTTATGCCTCCATAATACGTTTTTGGAGACAATTGTATCAGCCTTTAAATTAATCTATAGAAGCAAACTATGTGCCTCTAATGGATAATTATTTGTCTCTAATTTCACATTTACATAACATTTCTTCTATTTTTAGAGCCACAAATACTTGTTGGTACTCATGATTTTTTTTTGTGAGGCATAAATATTAAATTATGTTCCAAGATCTTAAAATTATGATTTTTTTTAAATAAGAGAAACAAATGAAAGCGAAATTTTAATTAACTAGTATCAACATAAATATTCTTACAAATCGTTCAAGCAAATAACAATGGTAAATGGGAAGAAAAAAGAAGAATGCTAACATTTTCATGTTCTTACTTACTAAATATACTATAACCAAAATACTACGCGCCAATACTATAACATGTATAATTAAGTTCAACTTCATCACCAACGTGTGTGCACGACAAGTCCTCAAACTTGTTCAACCTGTAACAAAAACAATATTTTGATTTAAGTTAACAATTCATTTGAATAAAAATGTAACAATGAATCAAACCGTAGTAGAGGAATTGACTTACAAAATTAGATGGCTAAGCAATACTTTGTACTACCACATCCCCAATAAGCTAATAACTTCCAGATGATCAAATTTAAGCCCCATCACACTTGATTGATACTATGATAAATACCTCAACAAATTCAATCTCCATTTCTTTCGCGCATATAGTTTCTTGGGATCTTTACTGCACACACATGGTATAGCTGCATCAACACTAGGACTCCATAAACTCTTCAATAGCACATCTCTTAATTCTTATATTTTATAATATTATGATATTAGTGTAGGGTGCATATTTTTTTGACCAAGCAAAGAAAGATTCAATAGAAAGACAATCTATATTAGCTGACTACAAGGATCCGAGATCAACCATTACGTTTATCAAACTCGATTTTGAAACATTTGTACTTGAGTTTTAGGGCATGTTAAAAGAATTTAACTAATTGATAAATGATTGATCATATAGAGCAGAATTTGAGGACTTTAACCCAATGGTGATTCTAGCTTCCCCCACAAGAAAGTGTGGCAGTCGACGATCCCGTTCAAGATCTGTGTCTTCTTGTGGATTGCTTACCAAAGGAAAGTTCTCACGCATGATGCGCTGAAGAGGAAGGGTTGGGCTTTCCCCAGCAGGTGCGTTTTGTGCGGTTGCAATGAAGAGTCCCTGGATCATCTGTTCATTCTATGCCCATTCAGCCGTGAAATCTGGAGGATCATGAGTTCGTTTGTGCAACTTGCCCAACCGGCAAGAGATCTCCCCTCAACCATTAGAGGGTGGCTTTTTCCGAATCCCTCTAACTCGCAACAGTGGTGCTCCAAGGTTTTTCTCCATGCTTTTTGCTGGCGGATCTGGTTAGAGCGAAACGCCTGAATCTTCAGGGATGACAGTGCTTCCGCTCGGGATGTTTGTTTGGCTATCGTCCGCCTTGTGTGTGATTTGTTGGTCTGCGCTAACAAGGTCGAGAGAAGTATTGCAGAAGCGTGGCTCCTCAATCTGAAGCTTCGGCTATTTCCCACACACCTCCCAAGTGCTGCTTCCTCCTAGCCATTGTCTATTCGTTTGTTTCGGACTGCTCTGTTTCCTTTTGATTTGTTTTTGACTCGTGTCGTACCTGTGGTTTCTGTTTTATTTTCCTCTTATGGGCTTGGCGTTTCCTTCGGTCCAAGTGGTTCTTGTGTTCTTTTGTCCTTCTACTGCTGTTTTCTATCTTTGATTTAATATTATTTCACCCTTATAAAAAAAAACAAAGAACTTGTATACAAAAAATAAAGAAAATGGTGGTTGGATTCACGAACACCAAAAAGCTAACACAACATCCCAAACTAGGAAAAGGAACAAAATACCTGATTCAACACCACACCATGAATGAGGGAGCGATTCCTTTATCGAGATCCCAATTTGCTGATACCAATTATTCTGATTCCTTGCCTTCATTGAGTCGTCTCATAGCGCATCCTCTTATACCTTATTCTTGAAAACTAAGATAAAATTGAACACGTTCCACTGACTAGAGTTAGTTAGATCTACAAATCATATAGAGAGTGGCGAATCATATACATATACAGGATGGCGAATCTGGAAAAAAACCGGAAATAGGGTAGCAAGGCGATGAGCAGATGTTTCTGTAACAAAGAGACGGTAGAGACGGCTAGGGGTCGTGATAGTGATCGGAAGGTTAAGAGATAGTGATAAAAGGGAAGGGTAACTTACGTTTATCGAACTCGGTAGAAAAGGGAGGAGCAGAAGCTCCAACACCATTGACGGCTGCAGAGGGGGGAAAAACTTACAATTTAAGAACGGTTAGGGTTTCATATGGAGATAAAATAGCTTCACTAGTTATTAAAAAAAAAAACAATTCTCTGTTTCATTCCTTTTCTTAATTATCCCTTAAAAGTTAAAAAACTACCAATTATGTTTGCATGATACGGCGGCAGAAATTGTAGCTGCCTCCATATGAGAGTGATTGTGCGACAATATGTTGGTCAGTAATGCTACAACTATTGATAGGTCATTCCATTTGCCTCTAATAATTAGTCTTGCCTGCTTAGATATAATTATACAGTGACACATGACAGTAATTGTCGCTAAAATGAATATTTGAAATATAATTAATATAAATCAAAATTGAAATAAAGAATCGGAGGCAAATATCATTCGCTATTGAGGCTAATAATATATCTGTTACAATAAGTGACTTTTAGAGGCTAACGTTTTATATGCCTCAATATATTTGTCATTATATCTAAGTTTTCTTGTAGTGCCTATACCATGGTACAACTTTAAGTTCACTACAGGAAAATACACATTTTCCTAGAGTAAAAACGGTAGTTAATAGTCACAAAACGGTAGTTAATACTTTTAGCTACAGTCAAAATACAGTGGTTAACTTGGCTGTAGGTAAAAGTCAAAACGGTAGTTAAAAGTGATTATTTACTACGGTTTCATACTATGGTAGTTAAAAGTATTGACTACGGTAAAAATACGGTAGTTATTAAGTTTTATTAACTACAGTTTGAACGGTGGTTAAAAGTTATTTCTAACCACCGGTCTTCTGACTGTAGGGAATGAGTAGACAATTAGCTAGGGTAATTTACGGTAGTTGAAGAGTGAAACAGTAGGGAATGAGTTCACAATTTGCTAGGGTATTTACGGTAGTTAAAAAGTGAACGGTGGGGAATGAGTTCACAATTAACTATTGTACTTACGGTAGCTAAAGGGTACAACGGTGGGGAATAAATATTTTGTCTATCATAAACAGTCACTAAAATGAAAATTATTGTCAACTATGCAACTATTCTTGCTATTACTGTTAAGGAATTTGACATCCAAACATTCTTTCTAACTAATAGTTTTGAATGAAATTCACACATCTTGACTTCATGTACAAAAGGTTGTAAGCCATCAAAAGCTATTCTTCTGTCAAGAATCGAAATCCATTATGCTTCAATCTCTAATATAGTCATCTTAAACTTGAGGAAACAAACCTGCAAATTTAACAAGGAACATTAATTAGTATCATTTTGATTATACTGTCACTTAGTAGTACTTCAACTACCTAAATAAGAATATGCTTTGGTAGGGAAACAGGAAACATAAGAATTGATGGATAACAAATCTTTAGAAAAGAAGAAAGTTACATAATTAGCAAAAATCAGCAGCTAAGTTGTTGCGATAAACTGCAATTTTTCACCAACTTAATGGTGTGCCCTGCCATGTACAAGATGTGAAGCAAGCCTAGCATTTAAGCAAGTATGGATTCAATCCATCATCATATTGTCATTCTAATCCCAGCACATAGCAAATAACATCATATTCACTATAACATGGAAATACTTTGTTCGATCGACTTACCTCGTTTCATCATCCCACCAACATATACGATCTAAGTTGGTTTCTTTTTCTTTGACGATCGAGCACCCAACATTGCTGCCACTTGAACTTTAACTTGTTTCGCTATTTTAACTTCCATTTCCCCCATAACTTCAGCCCTAGTTTCAGTTCTCACTTCAGCCCTCATTTCAACCATCATTTGAGCATTCATTTTAGCTCTCTCTCTCTCTCTCTCTCTCTCTCTCTCTCTCTCTATGCACCCTCTCTATCTCTCTCCGCAGCCTCAAGCTCCTCTATACGCTTTCGCATAGCAACCTTCTCTTCTTCAGATTCGCGCAATCTAGCATCTAACCCCTTATCTTTTGAGCTACCAACCTTCAAGTCTTTAGGCTTCACAGCACCTCCAAAGCAAGTCATATGGCCATGATTTTGCCCTCCAAAACATTTGACCACCAAGTCATATTGACTAGAAGTTGGGGCATCTTCCATAGCTTTCTTAATTTGTTCCTAGAAACATATATAATCACTTAATATGCTTCTTACACACTAAAATATAAACATTGTCAAACTTACATGTTTTCTTTTGCTTCAGGATCTTTTATTGCCTCTCCTTGCTTATAAGAATGCTCAAAAACTTGCTCCAAAGTTGGATCTTAACCAAGTTTTTCCCTCTACAATAACAATATGTTTATCAAAACACAAAAGTGACTAAACAATACTCTCTACGAAAACCAAGCAAGCTGCCCAAAGAATAAATAGAGCTTAACATGCACCTATATAACAAAAAGTTGGACCCTTGTTGATCTCAACTATTTAATCTCCACTTTTACATTCAATCATCATATTACCTTCTACCAAAACATATCATGCTTCCCAAAAAGTAACAGAATTGAACATGCACTTTTACATTCAATCATCATACTTCCTTCTTGATGTACAAAATAAGAAAAGATGCAGTAGGTGACTAAACAAAAGCAATAATAGAAGTACCAGATCGACTTTCACTTGTCGTGTTGGTTTGCTCCCGGTGTGCTGATACAATCTTTTCTTTCCCCGATTGATTGTATTAGCAGCACTCACTTTCTACAATACAATGAAAATCTATTACCACTTTAAGATGCAGCAAACGAGTGAAAAATTCAATTGACAAGTAACACACCTTGTATTTCTGTCCTTTGAAAACATTTGTAACACACCATTCCCAGTCTTCTTTGTTCATCATTGGTGGTACATTTCTAATGGCTTCTTCCACACTTTTGCAAGGTTTGACCCGCTCACAATTCATATATGATCTCCAATCAGTCCAACGTTCTCTAAAGACATCTTCTTTATAAGAATCCATTTCAGGATGAGAGAAGTATTCCTAAAGTAATACAAATTAAAAATATGAACTTAATGAAAATACTAAGAACTCCAAAACTACTAATTTGTATGCATATATACACTAGTTACCTTCACAACAGCAAACATATGATCTTTCGCTATTTCACCAACATCATCCCAATCAAGAGACCTTATCGGCCAAATTGAAGGATTGCGAACTATTAGCCCGAGATAGCTTGCCCAAACTGATCGATTTGGCCCAACAACTCGCCTTTCCGCAAATGTGACTGGTAGTTTCTCTCCAGGCCTTAAGCTTAGCAAGCTTTTCGCAAGTACGTTTACCTCTACCATTTTTTTTTTGTAGGAGCTTTACACATAACATCCAATAGGAAAGCATTAGAATAGAGTTTTATTAGTTGTATTTAAGAATGTACTAACTTACTAACCTATCTCATTGATTTGCTCTTGCTCCGTTGCTTGAGCAGTCACTTCCTCTAGATCCTCTATTGCCTCGGGATTTACTTCCACATGCTGCACATTATAAGAGAAAGAACTTCGCATCCTTGTTAGTTCATCACCCCCCACCAAATTGTTTTCACTAAGTGGCCCCTCATTTGCTTCTAGTGGGCTCTTAGAAACTACAAGAGCATGTAAAACTATAATCATCAATTATAAACATGGCATGTTGGTAAAATAGTATACAACCAATACTTACCATTGTTCTGCTGCCTTGGATGTACATGATGCTTTTTGGTAGTAGTCGAACAAATGGAATTGAAGGAGATTGTTGGCCTCTTCATCGTCGTCCTACCCAAAGAGCCAGGAGCAACAAAATTTGGTCTACTCTTCTTCATTATACTGTGAGGATGCTTCCGGCTAGAGCACAACAAAAAAATTAAGTTAGAACAAGTATAAAGATGTACGTTTAGAAAAAAAGAACCAGCAGCAATGTCAAATCAAAGATGACAATTTATGAACAAAACTCATGAAACTTGACCATGAAAAGAAAGATCAAGAAACTATACTACAATACAAAGCCAGCAACTCAACAAAGGGATTGTCAGTGAGGATTTCATACTATTAACTTAGAAACACAAATAGACAATCATACACAATCAGATTTTATATTAACTTGACTTACACAAACCAATCACCAAGTTTTACTTGAACCAATAAACTCAGAAAATAACATACATCAATTCCAATTTTACAAAACCAACAAATTTCACAACCCAACAGCACTACACTCCATTAAGTTTGAGCCCTTTAATTCACTTCTAAATCTTGTGAGAGATCGATAGATTCGTCTTCTTGAGCTTCATCCTCCTCCTCTATTAATGCATACATATCACGAGGCTGCCCCCTTACAACTACATGCCACTTCTTATGTATCTTGTCATCCATATGGAACACTTGAGCAGCTTGACTAGCTAAGACAAAAGGCTCATTTGTTTTCAACAACTTACGAAGGTTGACACAAACAAAACCATACTCATCCACCTTGATACCCTTCACTTTGTCATATATATCACAGCAATCACATCGAAACACTATCACTCTTCTTCCTCCGAGAAATTGCAGTTCAATGGTTTCTTGTAAAACACCATAATAATCTACTGCATCAGCACCAACCCATCATCACCAACTACTAAGATCCCACTGTTTTGTGTTTTCAAATGCTTTTCATGATCTTTTGTATGGAATCGATATCCATTTATTAAATAACCTGTGTAGCAATTAACAGTCTGAGAGATTGGGCCTTGTGACAGTGAAAGAAGATCACCCATCTCCTCACTTTTATCGTGTCTTGCTAAATTTGCAACCTACATTAGAAGAAAAAAAACTTATTGTAATTTGCTTAATTATATGTCCAAGTTTAATTGTGGGCTACTAAAGTTTGATGGAAGTTTACTTTTGTCTTGAACCAAGCGATGAAGGCTGAGGTCCACTCCTTTTCACATACTAACGTATCCGCCACAATATCTGTGAATTCTCTACATTGTCAAAGAATTCAACTAAGGATAATGTAGATATACCTTAAAAAAATATAGCAAAAGAAAAGTGATATAAATCAACATACTCTAGAAATGGCTGCACTTCTTCTTAGTTCTTCATCACGTAGATATGAGCTTGTTCCAACTCCCGCGTGCTAAGGACTCAAGTTTTACCACCTCCTAAGGGACGTCCTACTTGAGAAAAATTGAGGAACTCTCTCATATCTCCGCCATCATAATTCCTCTCTGTCTTATTAAACATTGTTCCAATGTCATTCAAGTACCTTGAACAAAGAGTCATACACTCAAATGCAATGTAGCCTTCTGCTATTGAACCTTTTGCAAAAGTTCTATTACGAATGAATGACTTCAGTTGATACAAATAACGCTCGATAAGGTACATCCACCTATATTGAACAGGTCCCCCAAGCATTGCCTCTTCGGCTAAATGAATTGGCAAATGCACCATAACATCGAAGAATGCTGGAGGAAATATCTTCTCGAGCTTACAAAGAATAATTGGAATTCGATTATTCATTTGCTGCAACTCTTCCAAACTCAGTGCTTTAGAACACAAGATCTTGAAATAAGCTGATAAATCAACTAGAGGATCACAAACCTCTTTTGGTAGAAGTCCACGGACTGCAAGAGGAATCAAATGTTGTAAAAGTATATGGCAGTCATGACTTTTCAAACCCGAGATTTTCCTCTCATTTATGTTCACACACTGAGAGATATTAGAAGAAAATCCATCCGGAACTTTCAAATGCTTCAAGAGATGACAGAACTCACGCTTCTTGTCCGGCAATAATGCATAAGCAGCATCTGGCAAAGTCACTCTTCCCCCATTTTGATTCGGGTGCAATTCTGTCCTAAGTCCCAATGCCTCTAAATCGAGTCGCGCTTTAAGTGTGACTTTTGTCTTTCCTTTCAAGCTCATAATTGTTCCAAGAAAATTATCACAAACATTCTTCTCAATGTGAATGACATCTAAATTATGTCGTAGAAGAAGATTTTTCCAATAAGGAAGACGAAAGAATATGCTCTTCTTGTTCCAATTACCCCCCCTTGTTTTGTGACAAACTTTTACTTTGGCCTTCTCACACTTGGTTAGCTTAATTCCTTCAAGATCCTGGCATTGACAAAGTAAATCATCTCCAGAAAATGTTCTTGGTCTTGATCCCCTCTCTATAGTGCCATCAAATGAATCTTTATCTCGCCTCCAACAGCTCCCATTTGGAAGCCAACGACGATGCCCCATGTAGCAATGTTTTCGTCCATTGTACAACCACTTAGATACGTTATCCTTGTTGCAAACAGGGAAAGCCAATCCTCCCTTCGTGCTCCACCCTGATAGGTTACCGTATGCTAGAAAATCATTGATAGTCCACATCAAGGCAGCATGTAGTTGAAAATTTTGACGCTTCGATGCATCAAATGTACTTATGCCTTCCTCCCACAATTATTCCAACTCCTCTACTAATGGTTGGAGACATACATCAATCGCATCTCCAGGACGGACTTTCGGGACCCAGAATAAGCATAGAAACGATGAAGTTGGATGGTTTCATAACCACCCATGGGGGTAAGTTATATGGAATTAACACCACAGGCCAAATGTTGTAAGGTGTTTTAGAATTTGTAAAAGGTTGAAACCCATCACTAGCAAGACCAAGTCTCACATTGCGAGGTTCTGACGAGAAGGATCCATATAGGCTATCAAATGATTTCCATGCTTCAGAATCTGCCGGATGCCTCATTACCCCATCAGTACTTTTGTTCTCGCTATGCCATCTCATTAACGAAGCTGTCTTCGTTGACATGAACAATCTTTGAAGTCTTGGCTTCAATGGAAAGTATCTTAAGGTTTTTACTGGAATCCTTTTTCCATTTACCTTATGCATTGTCTCTCCACTATGCTTGTCAATCTTCCATCTAGAAGCTTCACATACACTACAGTTGTCAAGTTGTATCTTATCCTTCCAGAATAATATACAACTATTTTGACAAGCATCAATTTTTGTGTATGAGAGACCTAAATCCTTAATAATCTTTTTCGATTCATAATATGAATCAGGCAAAGATGATTCTTTTGGCAATAGGTCTTCTTTCAATAGTTTCAGCAACATAGTGAATGAGGCATTACTCCACTTGCCAATAGTTTTGATATGG